TTATAGGAACTTAATTAGTTAGAATAAAACAAATGATTTAGGCATTGGATTTAATTTAAGGATAATAATAACTTTTAGATATTAAGCAAGATAATGAAAATGCACTTTACTAAGGTATTCTGTTGGTTTATAATAAAATTAGGAGTATAATTACTAAATCAATAGAAATGTCAAGAGGCTAGTGAAAAAATTACTTAATCTATAAAATTATCAGAAAAATAATTATCTTTGGCAACATTGTTTAAAAGTAATTTGATTCAATTTTATTTAATTAGGCATTTGGTTATCAATTAGATTATTCTATGCTTATATAATTGAAATGAACTAACCAGGATAAGGAATAATTATGAGGGATTAGATCTATTAGATTATTCAGATCAAGAATTAAGGAAAACCCAATAAAATACGATTATTTTAATTGCAAAAAGAAATTGAAATATTTAATTTACTTAGGCAATGCATTAAATGAAGAAAAATAATTTCGGTGGGCTGTTGAGTAATGTGATAAGGTCTTAGAAGAGGATCCTTAACATCTTCACACTTTGTATAGAAAAAGTAATCAATTATATCACAAAATAGACTTTTCTTTAAATGATTTGAAACTACATTCATAAGCTATTTTGTGTATTGGTGGAGCTTTGCAATATAATCGAAAGTATATTATTGAATACTTTTGTAAAGGTAATATTATTTGTTTTTAATTTTAGGAAATTCTTTAACACAAAGTCTTTAAAAATATAACGATGCAATAGTTTGCTATGATAAAGCAATCGAACTAAATCGAAATTATGCAGCTGCTTATTATAATAAATGTTTTAAATATCTTGATTGTATTAGGTATTGCTTTAAAGAATCTTAACAAATATAACCATACGATTGTTTACGATGATAAAGCAATCGAAACTAGATCCAAATTATGCAGCTGCTTATAATAATAAAGGTTTGAAATATCTTGATTGTATTAGGTGATGCATCATAATACAAATCAAGAATTGCTAATCATCTCTCAAGAATTATGAGCAGGCAATCTTATATTGCTAATCATATTAGGAGGAATTTAAACATTTAATTATGGAAATAAAAATAAAAATTAATATTTACACACATCATTATTAAAATATAAACTTGATTTATATTCATGGTATAATATAGATAATTGCCTAGGCAACAACTACATTTCTTAAACTAGAATTAAGTTGATTGAAATATTTATTACTCTCTCATAATTGTTCCCATCAACTATTCTCAGATTTATTTTCACCAAAATATTCCAACTTATCTTATATCTTTATGTATTATTTTATTTGTGTGGTAAAAATTAGTCATTTATTTAAAGTCCATAAACAAATCCTAAAACCTTAATTCGATGAAGAAATATCAGTTTTCTCCTAACAAATAACATACTTGTCTTATGTTCAGACCGTCTTAGTGCGCCTTTATAAGAGTTTTTGAATGCATAGACTTAAGTTTTCTTTATACTAATCAAATATGAATATTCAATTTTTGATATTTATTTTTTGAAACTTTCTCTTTAAGGAAAGATATTTAATAAAAAGAAATAAAATATGGTCTTTTTTTTCTTGTTGAAGGTGGTTTAAATAGAAATTCTAAATCAAATAGAATTCCATTTAATAACACTATAAATTATTTCCACCTTACAAACGAATTAAATTTAATTGTCAAAGCAATTTATATCAAAGTAAGTCACTCTCTTTTATTTAAAATCATAAAAAACTTTCAAAGGTTTCCTTTGACAATTTATTACTCATCAAAAATCAGCACTAAAATAAAGGTTGTATTTATAAACTCGAATTCAAAGAGATCTATTAACATTTAAAAATATTTAAATAGCTGGTACATTGAAGAAATCTTTGAAATTATAGAGTTTTTAAGAAATCTAGATTAGAATTTAAATTTCTTGAGATAAGCGAAACTATTTCACTAAAAGTTCAAAAGGATTATCTCCAATTTATAAACTAAAGCGTTTTCTAAATCTTTATTTAAATTTCAAATAATGAATTAAAGTAGCTAAAGCATTTATAAAAGTAGATTTATCAATTTCAAGAAAACAAATGATCATAATATTCAAGGAGGTATTCTCAAAGTCTACCATTTAATATTCTGAAGGATATTATTTATGTTAACAGCTTATACATTAATCAATCCAGAATAAAGAATAAAGAGAATAATGACATTCTTGACAAATAGGAATTCTGGAGGAAAATAATGATCATTATATAGTGAATAAAATATAAAGAAATGTAAGTTCTATTTGAGCTTACTTGATAAGATTCGCATGACTTGATGTATTACTTTAACAAGCAGAATTAATTCCATCATCATCATAATATAAACTAAGACAATTACAAGAAGAGCTTGAAGGATTAAGGAAATAAAAAAATATTTGAGAAGAGAATTTCTTATTAATGAAATATTACAAAATATTTTAACAGAAAGAAAGAATGAAATAGTCCTTAAATGTATCTCTCCTTGATGAAGTAGATATGTTGTTTGGCTAATGTCTAGACTATTTTAATGGATACTCAGAAGATATTACAAAGATTTTGTCCTAGTATTAGAGAATAGATAATCTTTCAAGAGCTCCGTAGTTATTTAGATGATTTTCTGATCTCTTAAAAAGTATTAACTTGGTTCCTTAACTCCTAATAAATTCTTCTTAGAACTTTAAATATCTAACTAAAATGGGTCTTATTATTTGAATACATGTAGAGGTTTAGGTCTAGTTTGCCAAGTTAAAATGTTAAAAGATAGGAAGTTTTATCTAAATATGGTAAAGAAGTGATCATTTTGTAAGTAAAATTGACTCCAATAATTATATAAATATCCAAGAAATTGTAAATCTCATGTGAATTAGAAAAATTAGAAAATAAGGAGATGTCAGAGCAGAGGATCGATTAAAAAATTCTGATAGTCTAGGGTATTTATGGTTAAATATTCATTAAGTAAATGGTCTTTTCTATGAATAGTTCATAAGTAAGATGAAGAAATTATTGAATTATTAGAAGAAGAACAACGATAAGGTTGAGGAGATAGCAATAAAGGTAGCGATAATTTACCATAAAATTAGTTTAGCAGTATGTCATAGTGGGTTGATTAATGAGAAGCCATTTGATCCAGACTCAATATAACTGATTCTAATTTAAAAGAAGAGGAAGAAGACGAGGAAGAGGAGATTAAGAAAATACGCAGAAAAATACTAAGATCAGTAAAATTATAAAACACCTATTTAACTTTGATCAAGAGATGTTTAGTATGAAAATAATTATGATGATACCGAGGATTACTACGGGAAAAGAACATTAATAATCCAGACTAGAATATGATTTAAATCATGTTCAAATTGAAGAGTTGGAATATTTTTTAAAAAGAGGATGATAATTAACAATATTAATGTTGATGAAGTTTCTTAGAATTTAATAATGTTGAGAATAATTAATGAGAAACAGGAAAAAATGAAGGCAATCTTAATGCAAGATAGAAGTAAAATTAGATTATTTCTCATTTCACTTTAATTTTCCAAATTTTTATTCATAATTACTGAATTTTGCNACATTAATCAATCCAGAATAAAGAATAAAGAGAATAATGACATTCTTGACAAATAGGAATTCTGGAGGAAAATAATGATCATTATATAGTGAATAAAATATAAAGAAATGTAAGTTCTATTTGAGCTTACTTGATAAGATTCGCATGACTTGATGTATTACTTTAACAAGCAGAATTAATTCCATCATCATCATAATATAAACTAAGACAATTACAAGAAGAGCTTGAAGGATTAAGGAAATAAAAAAATATTTGAGAAGAGAATTTCTTATTAATGAAATATTACAAAATATTTTAACAGAAAGAAAGAATGAAATAGTCCTTAAATGTATCTCTCCTTGATGAAGTAGATATGTTGTTTGGCTAATGTCTAGACTATTTTAATGGATACTCAGAAGATATTACAAAGATTTTGTCCTAGTATTAGAGAATAGATAATCTTTCAAGAGCTCCGTAGTTATTTAGATGATTTTCTGATCTCTTAAAAAGTATTAACTTGGTTCCTTAACTCCTAATAAATTCTTCTTAGAACTTTAAATATCTAACTAAAATGGGTCTTATTATTTGAATACATGTAGAGGTTTAGGTCTAGTTTGCCAAGTTAAAATGTTAAAAGATAGGAAGTTTTATCTAAATATGGTAAAGAAGTGATCATTTTGTAAGTAAAATTGACTCCAATAATTATATAAATATCCAAGAAATTGTAAATCTCATGTGAATTAGAAAAATTAGAAAATAAGGAGATGTCAGAGCAGAGGATCGATTAAAAAATTCTGATAGTCTAGGGTATTTATGGTTAAATATTCATTAAGTAAATGGTCTTTTCTATGAATAGTTCATAAGTAAGATGAAGAAATTATTGAATTATTAGAAGAAGAACAACGATAAGGTTGAGGAGATAGCAATAAAGGTAGCGATAATTTACCATAAAATTAGTTTAGCAGTATGTCATAGTGGGTTGATTAATGAGAAGCCATTTGATCCAGACTCAATATAACTGATTCTAATTTAAAAGAAGAGGAAGAAGACGAGGAAGAGGAGATTAAGAAAATACGCAGAAAAATACTAAGATCAGTAAAATTATAAAACACCTATTTAACTTTGATCAAGAGATGTTTAGTATGAAAATAATTATGATGATACCGAGGATTACTACGGGAAAAGAACATTAATAATCCAGACTAGAATATGATTTAAATCATGTTCAAATTGAAGAGTTGGAATATTTTTTAAAAAGAGGATGATAATTAACAATATTAATGTTGATGAAGTTTCTTAGAATTTAATAATGTTGAGAATAATTAATGAGAAACAGGAAAAAATGAAGGCAATCTTAATGCAAGATAGAAGTAATTTTCCAAATTTTTATTCATAATTACTGAATTTTGCTTACCCACTCTAAATATTGACTTTATACTATGTTGATATATCCTAAATAGAAAGCCGACATCCAGCTTAGTAAAAAATAGAGATATTAAGGTAAGTGGTCTAAAGAAGATTGATGGTTATGATTTTTATGCAATTCATTATCCTTATTGCCAAGAAAATATAAAATAATTGATTTTTGAGTAAATTGAAGAGAAAAAAAGAAGAAGACAAAAAGAAAGCTGAAGAAATAGCTAATACTTAATTCAAATCAGAAATTAGCAGGAAGGGACGCAATATGATAACTTTGTATCAAGGAACACAGATATTAGCGATGCTACTAAGCAAACCAATCCTTAACTAATATTCATTCAAATTTGATCACCTTTAAATTAAAGAGTAGATAGTAAAATTTACTGCTGAGTGCTGAAAGAAACTTATTAGAACAAAAAATATTAGAATTATTATTGATGATTTACTATATATTATTTTTGTTATGATTTTTAAATGATTTATACAATTAATTTTTTAACCATGATTTTAACTTAATAAGCATGAATTGCTATGGAATTATGGTTCTCATCTTTTGTCTTTGCTTTGAGTTTTTCAATGAAACAAAATTTGTTTTATGTCTAATGTTGACGGAATGTTTTAAATCAAAAGAATTATAATTAAAAAGAATAATTGTATTTTAAAAGATAATCCTCAATTACATCCCCTGTTTTTTTCTCTAATAATCCCCTATTCAAAATTCAGTTTTTTGGAATGACATCTACCTTATTACTATCGCTATATAGAGGACTATGTTAGATAGTAACAACCAAACCCATTTTCAATATTGAAAAAATAAGTAAATCCTGTGTTAAAAATTTTAAATTGGTTTAAAAGTTATTTAAATTTTTAGCGTAAAGTAAAGAGTTAATTTAAAATCTCCATACTGCATAATTAATGGTCAATTATAGTTCCAAAGTCGATGTATAGAGTCGAGAATAAAGAGTTAGTGAGGTATGATCCAAAACTTCTGAGTCATTATTTTGACTTCATAAAATTTTATTCATCAAAAATGATTTAAAGGATGATTATTATATTCAAATTTTTGCTAATATGTTCCATCATATTCTATTTAATTATTATTTATTATAGTTTCGTCATTGGTACTTTAGAGACTAAAATGATATACTTATATTGTTATTTCGCAATAAGTAGTTTCATCACTTTCATTTTACAAGTGATAATAAAAAACACGATTTATATTAATATTAAATGAATGTAGATTAATTCATAATAAATATGTCAGCTGTTAATTAAAATCGATACTAACAAGTATTCACAATATAGGGAGTCTTAAATATAGAAGGTTAACGTTGCTTATATGAGGTATTTATGAGGTAAGTGTTTGCGAAGATTCTCAAATAAATTAACAACTGTGTAAATTTGTTTTTACAAGCTTAGCTTTTATAAAAATTTATATAAAATTTTTTAAATTACAAAAATCTAGTTGAAGCAAATATATAAATTGCCTCCTTACTATTTATAGAGGTTTTCTCCTGATTGTAACATATTGGCTTTACCTTTAAGGATTACTATGTTTATTTAAAGGATCTTTATTAAAATAATAATATGCCAAATTAGCTGTTCATTATAATGATATCAATTCCTGAAACCTTCTCATAAGAAATGATTCCCAAAAAGGAGACGATAGTGCCTCTTTATTTTTGAGAATTTGAAAATTTTTTTTAAGCATTAGTGCAAATATTTTACAAATTCCAAAATTATTAAAGTAATTTTTCTTTCTATTGATTGATAAAATATCTTACATTATTATTTCAAGCAAAAAAAAGTAATAGAAATTTAATTTATATATTTATTCATAATGCAATGCACTTTTCATGTACTACATCCATTATCTTTAATATGTGTGGCTTCTCATCAATGTTAGAGGAAACTTTGTGTAAGATGTGATTATGAAAATGGAAGAGATTTTCACTAGACAATTCTGTTTGATGAATTTCGTGAATTACTATAAAAGAAATTTCATGAGTTTAAACTTGATTAGACATCTCAATTAGATAACTATAGAATCAGTTTCAAATCAATGCTTTCTGAAACGGAAAGAATGTTGAACAAAATTTGGGAAGAGCTATCAGAATCAATTAAATCAATATATAGTTTAATTGAACAGGAGAATAATTCATATATTAAGCTTATCAAAGAAAATAGCAATCTAGCAGAATCTTCCTATTCTGACTTGGAAAAATTAATATAATTTGTAAAAGGGAAAGATTTTATAATTTAGATAAATTAATATTTGGTTAAATTAGAAAAGGCAAAAAATTGGTGGAATCAAGAAGTAAATTCTTTTTGTGAGAGGATAAAACAGGAAATAAAAGATATTATGCCATTAATTAAGTAAAAATTTAAAAGACTATAGGATTCAACCAAACTATGAATAAAAGGAATATTTGATTTAGATTTTAGTTTCCTTAAAAGATGTTGATGAAAAATAATTTTAAAGGGTTATTGAAATGTTAAGAAAGGAGAAAGTTAGAGATTGTATCCAATTTCTTGAAAATGATTGTAATCAACAACATCATGAATAATATATTTGTAAATTAGACAATCTATCACCTATTGATAGGAAAATTATGTTGAAAAATGTAAAAAGTGACATTACGTTTATAACTAAAGTTATCAAAAATATTAAAGAAAATGATTTTTCTAAAACAAATTACTCAAAAGAAGAATTTAAGGTAATAAGATAAAATCTAATTCTAAAAATATCTAAAGAAGAGAAAACTATTGAATTTCTTAAATTTTTAATTCACCTTACATCAATAGACGATAAATTCATATAATGTGGATCAAACTCATTTAATTTATTAGTTGAAATGAAGGTTGATCTGAGAGAATAATGTTTTGAAAATATTAGGATTAAAGATACTTCTTTGATCGGTGCTAATCTAGTAAGATGCATTTTAAACGGATCTGAATTTTAAAATGTTGACATAACCGGTGTGAATTTAAATGGAGCGTAATTATTTAATTGTAGATGGGTAAATATAATAATATGTGAATTCAATATATTAAATGGTTATTCAGGTTAGGTAAGATCAGTCTGCTTCTCTCCTGATGGTATTACTTTAGCATCTGGGAGTATGGATAAATCTATCTGTTTATGGGATGCGAAGACAGGAAAATAAAAAGTCAAATTCGATGGTCATAGTGATGTTGTCAATTCAGTATGCTTCTCTCCTGATGGTAAAACATTAGCATCTGGGAGTTATGATAAATCTATCCGTTTATGGGATATTAAGAAAGAACAATAAAATTTCATATTAGATGGTCATAGCAATTGTGTTCTTTCAGTCTGCTTCTCTCCTGATGGTACTTCATTAGCATCTGCAAGTGGAGATTGTTTCATTTTTTTATGGGATGTTAAAACACTATAACTAAAAGCTAAATTAACAGGCCATTTTGATTATGTTTCATCAATATGCTTCTCACCTGATAGTACTATACTAGCATCCTCTAGTATGGATAACTTTATCTGTTTATGGGAAGTTAAAACAGGAAAATAAAAAGAAAAATTCAATAATCAGAGTGATTATGTCAAGTCGGTGTGCTTCTCTCCTGATGGTACTACATTAGCTTTTGCGAGTGGGGATTTTTATATCTGTTTATGGGATATTAAAAGACGATAACAAAAATTCAAATTAGATGGTCATACTAGCTTAGTTCTAACAGTATTTTTCTCACCTAATGGTACTACATTAGCATCTGGTAGCGGTAATGTAAATTTATTAATACAAGGAGATAAGTCTATCCGTTTATGGGATGTTAAGACAGGATAATAAAAAGCCAAATTAGATGGTCACAGTGGGGCTGTTAAATCAATCAGATTCTCTCCTGATGGTACTACATTAGCATCTAGTGGTGATGATTAATCAATTCGTTTATGGGATGTTACAGCAGGAATAGTAAATAAACCCTCTAATAAATATTATAATGAGATGCTTGCCTAGTTAAAAAAAAAACTTAAAAATACTTCATAATTTCAAAATAGTAATGATTATTAATTTTTTAGTAAACACTAACATTCCCATTCTTGTAATATCACAAAAATCTAATTTAGAAGCATAAGGAGCTTTAATTTTTAGGGGAGAGTTTAGAAATTCTTAAGGATTAGATTTAAGATCATTATTGAAATCTAAAGGAACTTTGATTTTGGAAGATGGATGAATAGTAAATTTAAAAGAAAAACTTGATTATTGAAAAAATAAATATTATTTTAATAATCATTTTTACATTAATTATTTTATTTTATAAAGATTGAATTCTAATACAATTTACTTTTACATTATCTTATGCATTATGATATTGAAGCGTAATGTAGATTTCATATATGATAAAATAAGGTGTTAGTTCTTTCAAAGAGACCCACTAAATTTTTATTTGAATAAATTGCATTTTAATGAATAATCATTTGGGGTGGGTCAGGGCTTGTATGATTCTATCATTTATAAGAAACTCGTAAAATGGTATGGTCAATTAGATATAGCAAGACAAATAAAGAGGATGAAAAAATCCAAAATATTGTAGATTTTGAAAACAAATAATGCAATTTCCGAAAATAGATTAGGAAATGAGATGTTTTTATAAATCTTTTTAAAAAATACAAACATAAAATGCTAATGGGTATTGAATGGAAGGATAACTAAACTAAGGCTTCTATTATTTGAAGTAAGTTGTTTTTAAAGTAGTATCCATTAAATATAAACTTTAAAATGTTAAGTTATCATTCTTAATTAAAAGTCTATACGATTCTATTTTAGATTAGCACTATTTTACTATTAAGCATTTAATGAATGTTTATTATATTATTGTGTTTATGTGAAATATTTTGTTTTGTTTTTGGTAATATTTTGCAAAAATTTTAATTAAATATTATAAATAAACTCAAATTGTCGGAATAAAATTCGCATTCTTTAATGATATCAAAAATAAGCAAGATTAGATTAACTTGTACTAATAAAAAATTCTTAATGTTATAAGCTAAGGATATATTAAAATGAATTCTATAATAGAGAAAGTTGCCGAAGGTAAATGAAAAAGAACCCTGACTAAACTTCAGTTTAAAGAAGTAATTTGACATATATTTTTTAAAAAGATAGTTAAGAATGTAAATCAGGTTCGATTGGTCGATTTTCAATATTTCTGTTGAGCAACAAGTCGAAAAAAAGACTTCAAAGGGTAATTGATTTTTGTTTGGGTAAATATTCAATTAGCTATTATTAGATTTCTTAATTTAATCAATAAGAGAGGCGAATATTATTTACTATTAAAGTAAAGGGTTGCAATTTAATAGGTAGAAAATTTAAATTATTGGCAATTCAGAGGACAGAAGAATTACCACTAATAGCATCATTAGGATTAAAATTGAATAATCGCATTCTTTACATCCAACAATTATAATGTAGCCACAAAAAGGAATATGTTAATAAATGTTAAGGATCACACTACAATTGTGATATCACATTAAAATAAATTTGGAACAGTATATATAAAAATTGAGCATCAATGCTTAAAATTGATTGAGTATAACCAAAAATAAAAATCATATCATCGTAAAAATAAGAATCATAAGTAGTAAGAATTTCCTCCTCATTATTAGCCTATATTTTATAGAGTGGCTGTATTGAAATTAAATGATTATGAGTTTGAATCTTATTTTTAAATTAAGAATGATTTGTAAAATGATTGAATTACATTTAATCACACCAAATACAACAAAAGGCCCAAAATTAGAAATCTAAATAAGCATAAGTTTAACTTTACTTGCACATCTATGGATCCCTCTAAAATCATGATTTATTTTTAACATCGTAAACATGATAATAATTAATCGTTATAATTTAAATTGAAGGTGTAGAAATATAATGGTCGACAGAAATTCATACGACCAATTAAATTGCTATAAAATACTATTCTTGCAAGAATGTTCTTTCTAACTTGATCGGGATTCTGCAAAATGGTGATCACTAAAAAATTCTAATAAGATAAAATTAATGCTATTAGAAACGTTCAAAATATCCTAAGGACATTCAACATTTTATGGACAAACCAATTTTACTGAATCTTCAATTAGAGTAAAATTTAAATTATTTATTATAAGAGAACTTCCTAACAGGTAGATTAAGCTTAATAAAATAAAGCATATTCATTTACTTGTTCAAAGGATTTAGAAAAAATTAAAACCTAATAAAGCAACCAATACTTAGATATTTGATTTTATCTGTTAAAAATTAAATTATTCAACTTTGAGAAAAGCCTAATATGAGCCAAGCAAAATTTAAATCTTTGGTATGCTATTAAGTTCGTAAGAAAATCATCGAAGTCTAAATTATAAGTTCCATCAAGCTTTAAAAAGCACTTATTAAGAAGCAATTTGAATTTGATGTTAAATTATTTTTCTAGTCTTCAGCCTTAATTAATTATATACGCTAATCATCATATTCCAGACAGAAATAAGCAGAGTGAAAATGGATGATCGTCAATTCTAAGTATTTATTGTCTAAAAAAGCAACAATTACCATAGAAGCATAATTTTCTCCTTCAATAATTCCACGATTGTGCCACTTTAAATGTAAATCTCTTTTATTTTAAAACCTAGTGTAGTATAATACTCCCATTGATATATCATTTATGGAGAGTAGAGATCTAAAAACTATTCTCATAAGTTTTATAATGTAATAAACCAATAAAAAGGAATGATTATTTGAAGTATTGGATAACAAAAAGGATTAATTAAACATTAATTTCCTATTTATATTAATTCACTGTTATTTGGAATTTTCATTAAAATATTTATTTTTAAGCATGCGCTATATCTACTTAAAAGTTGAAGAACAAAATATTAAGTACCACGAATGACTAACAAGTTTAAAAAAAATTAAGTATGAGCCTATAAATTAATTAGATAGTTATGGGTATAATAAAATAATAAATTCCAAAGCATATCATTCGATCTTAGATATCTGGTGTATTATAAACAGAGTCCATTATCGTTGAGCAATCTTAATTCTTCACTCTCCTTAAACTAACATTTTTAGTTTAATAATTTTCAGAACACCAAATTTCTTACTTTTCATTTATTAATAAGATAAATTATTCAATATCTTGAAATTCTTTTGTAGTATTAAATTATCTTTATTCATCAAATCTTGAGATTATAGATGGTTTTTTTTATGTGTTTCTTTCTTCAAACCATACCCAAATATTATATTAATGGATCCATCTAAGAATCTTATTAAAACGAAATCTTTCTATAACCTAAAAGATTTGTCACAAATTTCTTATAGTAATATTTTGTTAACAGTTTATCAAATAAACGATTAAAATTTTAAGAATAAGGCAGTAAAGCAAACCTTGAATATTTAAAAAGAGCCTTCCTTAAAAAAATAGCCAAAACCTTGATTAAGGAAGATTCAAAAATGATTCGACCTCGTTTGGACGTGTCCTATTTAACTGATGTCTGGTTAATGAAGAATCCCATCAGAAAATAGATTAATGTAAAAGTATTCTATTTTTTAATTTTAGGATGAAGTAGTAGTTTCAATTAATTATAATAACATTAACTCCTCCATTAATGATATTATAAATCAATTTTTTACAAAATTTCTATAAACTTACCAAATTCAAAAATTGCAATAAAGACTCATAAACGACTTAAACAAATCGCTGAAGTTGAGTAACCTGTTCAAGAATTGTCTTAATACGAAGAAAAGTGGTTAAATACGCTTTAAAATAATTAATAAAATAGCTGCTTCATCTCTATATCAAAATGTGATTTTTAATATCCTCATAGATCCTTTTAAGGTCATCCTGTGTTCATATAGATGTAATATATTCTAAAATAAAGTTCTAAATAAGACTTATATGAAAAAGCTATAATATTATTAATATATTATTATTGAAGCTAACCTCATAATATTTTTGTAAGCATTAAAAAAATATCCATCTAGTAAGTGTTATTAGCTTAATTGAAGTTAGTTATAAGGAATCAATTTTCATTGAAGTTAGTTTGCATTTATCTGATATATAGATTGAAACATTGAATCTTTAGTGGACTTAGCAAATGCCATCATAAAGGTTGACAATTAACTTTACTTCTTTAAATAAATGTGGTTTATAAAAATTCTAAAAAATTCAGCAGTAGAGAAAAGGGAATTTTAGAGAAATTTAAGAATTAAAATTGTTTGAGGAGAAACTGGCAAATAACGTTTTAAGTTAGACTATCTTTCTAAATGCAGTATATATATAATTGGTCACTTTAATTAAAAAAAATTTCTCAAATGATAGAATAATTAAATAGAATAAATTGATCTTTTCGAATATGCGAAAAGGTTAAAAGGATAATAATGGAAATTATTTAGTTTTAAAATAATTAATGATTATTTATGAAATACCAAATGTAACTTAAATATTAAAAAGACCTAATCATTATATACCTTTTAGAAACTTATTTCTTTACGAAATAAAGTTCCATTTTAGAGAACATACCCTAAGATGAAGTTTGATAGACCCTTTCATCTTATTGATTTCAGAACCGATCTAAAAACTGCGGCACTACTTATGGAGGAGATGATTCCAAATTCTGAATTTTAAATGAACATATTTGGAAAGTTTTTAACATGGACTATAAGAAAAAGAAATTTTAAAAGTAGTTTTATTCATTAAATTTAATCTAATCATAATTGCAGTTTTATGGTAAAAAATGACCTTTATTACACTGTTTTAAATTGAAAAAGAAATTGATTCAAGCTCGTGATGGTACACTGTTGAAGATGGATAAAATCATATTTATGGTAGATTATGTTATCTAGGAGATCTAAATGATTATATAATAGTAGAAAGAGTTATTTTAATATTACTAAAGATGTAAAATAATTTATTGGGTAGTTGATATCCCATATTAAAATTTAGAGTATATGAATTGGAATGTAGTAAAAGATAGTGTTAATCTTTAAAATAATATTGTTATTTACGGTGAATCCTTCTAGATAAGCAAATATAATAAAACAAAAAATACTACTTTATTTAATTGATGTAGGCTTCAGAATTAGGAAAATGTCATAAAGATTCTGAATTTATAACTTTTTTAAAGTTTAAGGATACATATGAGTAAATGCGTATTATCAATTAATTTCATTATTTGTTTTCGATCCAGCAAAGAATAGAAAATTAATATATGAAAGTATAAACCATTAGGTGTATACTTTCTGGAATATTTTATTACCTAAATATTGAAAATCATAAATAATTATTTGTTATTAAATGTTCTTAAAAATTTTGAAGTTTAAAATTTATAGTTTTTGATGTATTTTTTAATTATTAAGCATTACAATCTCTTTGCCTATAAAAATGGGCTTTTACCAATTCACTTTCTTTTTAGTTGATTGTTCACTCTAATGTTCAATATATTTCTATTACTAAATGTGATCAAGATCGTCAACTTGAAACGAACCCCTTATTTCTGATTGAATGCATGATAATCTTAGAAATTGAACAGAAGAAAGTATGATACTTAAATCAAAATGTTATTCTTTTAAAAGCTTTTGCAAAATCAACTGTTTTGTATAATCTTAACCATCTGCTTGAAGAAGTGAGCCTTTACTTTTTGTTCTGTTATTAGTATATCCTTGTAAGGAATTTTTCACTTCGAGTCCAATCGTAAATCTACTTATAATATTTAGTTTGCAAAGAGATATTGAAGTAAATTTTGTGCTTGGTCAATTTATATTGGGCACTAAGAATAAAAATGAAAAAAAGGATTATTAAAAGGTTTGATTTTTTAAATATTTAGACTCTGCAGAAACCCTCTTCATCCAAAGATGTATCGGATAAACAGTATTTTTTCTCTCGTGAAAACAATCGAATTGTTAAAAAATATTGATGGTTCTCTATCGACGTTGATAATGAACTAAATATTTCTCTTCCGGGTGAGCCTGTGTCTTTTTTTGGTTATTAATTGAGAAAACAAAAATGTTCCTTCAAATTGCTACCTGAATAGATTACTCTAGAGAAGGTGTTGAAGCAAAATTCTTTTTCGATTATTCTTGTTCTAAATCTAAAGTTTCGTAAATTCATTCTGTTCATTTGATAAACTGAGAATTTGAAAAGGAATGGAACTTGAATATTGATGGAAACAAAAAACATAGAATTAAGTAATCAATTACTTTCAGTGGTTTTCTAATAGATAAAATATGAATGACATCTTTATATATCTGTATGATTAGCCCTGCAACTAGCATTCTTCTTAATTTGGTTTTATGTACTGAGAAAAGAAAAATTTTTTTGTTGCCCCCTAAATTAAGAACTTTTATGAGCTCAAATTGATATTCAGAAACGTATGTGAGTGAGAATACTAGAAAAAAAGATAGCTGAAACCACTCTAGGTATTTAGTATGAAAAAAAATTTAGATCGTTTGCAGCTAATTATTTAATAATGCATCATGAATTAGATTAAGTAAATGGGGTTAAACGGTTTCCAGAATAAAAATTTAATTTTACCATTGAAATATAGAATACCATTTAAAAAATGATCAGCTACGTTTATGATAACTAATGATTTCTAGATATCTGTTTTACAAAAAACAAACTAAAAGGGAGAGTAAGTTTACAAATTGGTAAATTATTCTTGAAATTTCCTCTATTTTATTTAAAGCATTTGGTTAATCTAATTAAGATCCTTAACTAGAAAATCTCAATCGCATTTTTTGATAATTTTACGTATTTTCATTCAGAGAGCACTTATTTAGATTCAATAAAATCAAAATAAATTTATTTATTTTTTAGAATTGAAGTGGCAAATAGACCTATTTTATTGTTTAAATAAAAATCTATTCATATGTCACCAAAAACTAAGGAAATTTAGTCGATTTATACGGCATATGAAATAGAATTAAGAAATAAATGAAGTTCCCTCTATTAGTTTGATTTCAAAGGTGTTTTTTCTCTTTTTTCTTACAAGGCATCTCTACATGAAGAATCACAATACAACATTACAAACTGTGTCAGAAATTTAATTGTAGGGTTTACTTATCTATCCTAAATCAAGAGATAAATTGGATAGACTAACTTCCAAAACAATACCTTCCATCCATTCATCCATCCATAATGTCCAATACCTTCCATCCAGAATGTCCAATGAAATATAAATATATATCATTGTCCAATTGAATCCTCTTTCTTAATCTCTATAAATATATCAAATTTCAATAATCACTTTAAGTATCCAAAAGATTATCCTATTAATCTTAGCATGTCTATTCCCTACAATATGCAAGCATTCTGTCAAGTAACTCCTTGTCTAACTTAATAAACAGCTGGCATTGAGCTTCACTCTATTCTACGTTCAGGTTCATCAGTCCAGTGATATGTTTTTGCCTTAGAGTATGACGGCCGAATTTGGCTCGAAATCTACTGAGGGTATTTTTCATTTCATTTGAAAAATAACTAATAATACCTTTGATTTAAATTTTCTAAATTAAATATATCAAATAATAAAATAACTATATTCTATGTATTTATAATTCTTACTTTTCTCATCTACTCTATAAGCTTTATCAATACGATATTAAAACCAACTTTTAAATTCAAAAAATAATTTCATTTTTACTCATTTGCTTAATCAGAGAAAAATTCAAAATTAAAACTAATTAATTTTAACTTCATTAACAAATAGGTTAATTAGAAACTAATAAATTAGACTAATGCTTTTCATAAAAGATTAAAAGAAACAATTATGCTGTATTACTTAAAATCAACAGAAGTTAACTGTAACCAATTGATCATTAGTAATTGGAAGGGTGACATAAAACCTTCATTCTCAGACAAGTCCACTTTCCCTTTATGAATGGAAGCCACTTAATGTCTGCTTTACTATCCAACTAGGAAGCATCATTTATCCAACAATGCTTGTAACTAACTATAAGAAATTTGAAAATATCCTCATTCTACTGTTTGTATTATAAATAATGTCATCTATAAGCTCCTCTATTTCTCCTTCACATTACTTATTTTTTTCTCAATCTAGTTCAAAAAAAAAGACAGAAGATAGTTCAGCAGCTGCCCTCCACCTTGTTCTTCCGATATCTCACTTTCTTTTTGTATTATTAATTTCCCACCTTGATAATTTTTCTCTTTCTTCATAAGTTTTTCAATATAGTTCTTCCAACTACTTTTTGCTGCCGTCACCACATCATTCTTATCTTATATACTTGGTTTAGAACCTCTAGTTATACCCTATATATCCACACTTATAATAACAAGCAGCATAAAATCTCTCCATTGTTCAGTGTTTGTGTTTTTTTTCACACTGTTAAAGTATTTTCAATACTATAAGTATCAAAATGACTTATACAAATATTAGAAATAACTTGTATAATCATTTCCTTACTAATCCTTCATGCATAATAACTATATTTTCTGTAAAACTTTATTGTCTTAACCATCTTTGGGTCTCGAAGCCACATTTTTTGACTGCTTACCTATTCTAGAAACCATAAAAATATAGAACAAGAGTACGAAATTTCAGAGTTATTGAATCGAACCTCTTGATGAATATCTAATCATCTTCTTTTTATTTAATGTATTTCAATTTATCATTAAACTTTAAGCATTTATAGGAATAGTAGGTTTGTAATGTTTTGGGATATTCATTTGTAATATCAATAAATATTTAAGTTTTAAGGTTACAATTATTAGAGTATGAATCTCATCCATTCTTAATGAAATGTTATTTGGCTTAATAATGCTATAGCCGTAAGGAGTTGCTTTCAATACCTTTAGGCAAAAATCTTAAAACGTTTCAAATACTTAAATATAATATTTGCAATAGGACAAGAAAATGGAGAATGAAAAATTTTGGATATTTAGAAATTGCTGTCATTATTGAGAGACATTCGTCTCTAGTGCATAAACTAAGAATGAAAATTAAAAGATTAACATTGATCATTATGTATATTGATATCATTTTTAAATAATTAGATAATCAATACTCATTTAAATATCCTCCAAAATGGTCTCAACAAAATATAATTCTCTCATTGTCTAAAATCTCTTAATTAGTTTCTATCTATCTTGAATATCTCTGAGAATAATGAGTTAATGTAATAACTTTTGCATCAGCAAGCATGCATACTTTAGCAGCCTCAGAATTTGTAGAGTGCATATTTTAAATTGCATTCTCCTGTAAATCATATGTAAAAGTGGATTCATGAATTAGAACATCAACATTTTATGAGAATTTAATAAATCTTTCTCATGGTCTTGTATCTCCAGAACAAGATAAAGATCTTCCATCAGATAGATTTAATCTTACTCCATAGAATTTGGACAATGCTCAACACGAGTAAATTTTATAGAATCTAATTCAAATTGATCCTTCAAACAACATGTAAAACCTTCGTAGTTTTTAATGAAAATTTAATACTCTTAAATTTATACTAATTCACCTTACCTAATTTGATATTAATGAAAATAATCTTTTTTAATTAATTAATATCTTCTTTAAAATCTTAATCAAATTATTTTGATACAATAATTATCCAATTATATTATTCTCCTAAAATTTCCTTTAAAACATCAGCCAAGGTACTATTATTGCAGGCACAATTAAATATATATAATTATCGCAATTACTTAAATGATGAACAATTTGTAATAACCCTCAATGATGATCACAATGAGCATGGCTTATCCAAATAACTTATGGTTTATCATTAAGAACTATATTTTCATCGCGAATCTATTTAAAAGTTCCTTCTCCACAATCTAAAATACTATTAGATTTCAATTTTCATTCACAAAAATAATTCCAAAAACATTTCTAAACTATCCTGGTTTCATAGAACAAGTGCAAATAAAATTTTTGTTTTTTTATACCTAACATATTAATTTGATATGATGGATTCCTTTTTATTAAAATTATTATTAATAGTTTTTGAATTATAAAAATTCTAACAGGTTTATACCCTATTATTTAGCTGGGAGAATTAAATATTCAAAAAGAGGAATGTAGCCAAACATTTATTTAAATTTTTTAATTTTAAGCATTCAATGCGTGGGAAATTAAGTGGATATTTTTTGATGCAAAAAATTTGATAAATGTTCTGATAAAGGTTGGATTTTTATATGTGCTTAACAAATCTTATCATCACTTTCCTTATAATAGTTACAGAAAATATGGTTGATATTGGAATATTTTTAATAAAGTAAATATAGTATTCTTCTTAAATGTCATGAGACAAATGAAAAATAGCAACTAAATTTATCTATTAAGTTTTAAATTACTCCAGAGTCTTTTTAAATTCTATATGAGAAATCAATTTCGACATTTATTCTTGATTTGCAATATCCAAAATAATTACAATTTAATGTATTATGTTAAGATCTTTTACTTAATCAATTGTAACTATTTATCCATCCTCTAATATACAGTAGGATTGTTTACTTTTATGGCATTTTAAACTCTTTAATTAATTATTAATTCGAACTGACTATTTATTTTGTATATAACATAGCCCTTTTGGCCCGTTCATTTTTGTATTTACTCCACAATTATATGCCAATAATGTTGATAAATACCCAAAACAACCAATTGTTGTTTGGGTGCTCAATCTGGTTAAAAATATTCTAGGCGCTTGGTTGATTTTTCATTATTGTATTTTTTGAATCTTTAACGTCCATCGAAAGATTGAAATTATATCTAATATTATCAAAGGAGCAAACGATATTTGGAGTTTCTTAATTTTGCAGCAATGCTTAATTTATTAGAGAAAAATAACAAATATTTGAATCAATGAAATCAAGTTGTGAAAATCTGGAGACTTTAGCTTTGTTCATTTTAATAAAATGATATTAAATTTGTGATTTATGTTTATGAAAAAACACAAAAGTCTTAAAATCCAAATATAATTTATAAAATTCATCATCATTTAGATTCATTGTTCAAAAAAATAGGAGAATAATAGTTTATAGTATCAAGTAACTAAATTTTCATAATGAAAATAATCTATTTAATCAAAATTAATTTGAAATCCCATTTTAAATTACAATATTTCAGATTTCAATAAAAAAAATTAAAATTCATTAATATTGCTAGATAAAATGATGATCATATTCTTAGTGATCCTTATCATCAACATTTGTGCTTATAAAATATCCGAGCAAGTATTTTCGTTGTACCCAACAGAAGGAGAATTTTATCAAAACTATCTGAGTGACTTTATTAAAAGTGAACAATTATCATGTAAAATGTATCCTAAAGTTCCCAATGTGAAAGTTATAAATTAATGCGAAGAGATACTTAGAACAAAAGGCTATTGTAAAATATTAAGAATATTATTAAAGAATTTAAATCAATGTCATCAAATACTACACATTTTAGTACTCTGTCAAAAGAAAATGAAGTATGTATTTATGAGTGGAGGAATTCTATTATTCAATTAGTTTGGAAATCTGTAGAAATTAATCAGTCTTTTAATTGTTTTAATATCAATTTGTCTAAAGATTTTTAAGTTTTAGTCGATTGCTATTACGATGATAAATTCTTTTTAATCTAATTTATTGATGGATAATCAACAATTTCTTATTCACAATAATCATCTGTACCTGCTTCAACTAAAATATAATCAATTTTAAATGATACAAATGCCTTTTTAGTATATGCCTAATATTTTGAGAATTATTCAATACTTTCACTAATTTCATCATAATTTTTTAATTTAAGTAGCCTTAATAACTAATTTGTCGATTTTGATATAACAATTACAATAAGTCCGAATATTTATGTAATTAGTTCCTTAGAGATTTTCTAGTTATCTATATCTCCAGAATTTCAATTTTATTATAAATATAATTTTAGCAATGACAACAAGGATGATATGAGTAATTTTATAAGTATAAATGCTTATTACGATTTATCTACTTATTCTTAGTGTGATCAAATATTGCTATAATATATCAAATCGTTGAATTCTTAAATAGATTATAAGATGGCTAAATTATTGGGATGTGGAAGTAAAATTATCAAACTCAGTGATAGCTGTCCGTTTAAAAATTGTCAGTTTATTTAGAATATACTCTAAAATAACTAATTTATAATTTATTAATCAATGAATGATAGGTGTATTTATAACAAACAAGAAGAAAATAAATTGTTCTTTTATTAGCTTAATTAAAGCAATTCCCTATTATATTTCAATGATAATAATGAGTTATTTTAATTTAATTAAGAAATTGTTGTTTATAAGGTTTCAGTGCCGTCCATTCAAATTAACTTAACTAACATAACAAGTTTAGAAAATTTTTATAATTTTACAGTAATGTGTATCAATTATGATGAGACTTACTCATTTAGTCTAATTAATATTAATCTTTATATACTAACAAATTAAGATACAAATATTTATGTAATTTCTAATTATGGGTTCAAAGATTATTAATTTTCTGATGAAGCTTCTGGAAGATTTTTATTTTATGGTTTTTCTGGATAATTATTAAATTATATTCTAAGCAAAAAGGAAACTTATTTTAATGTTACTTAAGTAACTTTTTAAAATGTTGGTAACATTAATTACAATTATTAATTCGAATAATTTTTGTCAATAAATTATCCTTTAGAAGATGAAAGATAATATTTAATTGGATATACTAATTAGTCACTTGATATTTTAACTTGCATTTACAAATATAACAACAATTCGTATGAATTTACTATAGTAAATTCGATTAACATCTCTGTAAATGCGAGTTCTTTGTAGGTTGCCAATAGTATTTATCCTAATATGCTTATAATTGGACTCAGTACTAATCATACAATCTATTTGTTTTAATACTTGAATGATAGCAACAGTATAATTAATTATTCAAATTATACGTTTAAATAAAAATTCTAGGATTTCGTAGTAACATATAATAGTATTATTATTCTAATTAAAACAAAGTAAGAAATTAAAATAATGACATTTAATTTTACAAATATTTTTACTTTAGATTAATAGTCAGTGAATAAATTGTTCAACAACATTCAGTTCAATCCAATATAAATAGTTGTGAATACATAATTATTATCATCTTTTTTATATATCAACAATATTAATGAAGTCATCATAATTTCAATAGATTAAAATAGCTTTCCAATACCAATTTCCTTGATTCGAGTTGATTTCACAATCAAATAGATTAATTTAGTGGGTTAATAATTGATATTATCCTATTTATGTGTTAATGAACAGAATATTTGCTTCTAAGTTTGGAATGTGTAAAATTTACCAGAATACTATTATGTAAAGAATCTTTATACTGCAAATTTTGATAATAACATAATAATATAATCTGATAACTTGTTTTTTTATGTTACTTTAAGAAATTACACTGTTTATGTTTACAATCCTTAATTACCATATCATATGAGTTTATATTATAAATTAGAATTAACTGCACCATTTTAATGTACTTAATCATCATAATTAAGGAAAGGCTATATTTATGAAAAGTCAATAATATTTTCAAACAATAAATTGTATTATCTTTTTGGGTAATAAAACTTTAATCTAACTTATCAATATTACAATCAAGTATATAATAATTCCATAAGCTATCCACAATTAACTTATAATTATACAATAACTTCAGCATTAAATGACACTGCCTTTTAGTACACTCCTAATTAAACTGTAACTTTTTATTCAAACTTCACAATATTTTAAAATTAATCATATTTATCTATTAATTTAACAAATAATTCTCTAATACCTTATTCTAAAAATATCACATATCCAATAAGTTTAATACTTGATAGGTAAATGGGATATTGTGGATCAATAAATTAGAATTAAACTTATGATTTAAACAAATATTGTAGTTTAACTTCATTTTATCATAAGTCTAATAGCACTCAAAATTAGGGTAATTACTCCTTAATCACTTCAATAAATAATAAATTTTTTGCTTTACAGAATAACTCTTACATTTAAACTTTAAATGGTGACTTAACGAATAAATTTAATTTAAGTTACTTAAATTTAAATTTGAGCGAATGTCTAAAATCAACAGCATAAAATTACACTCTATATACAATTTGTTAAAATAGTACTTCATAATATTTACTTAACTTTACTCTAAATTTTTCAGGATCTATTGAACTAATTCAAACAACATAACTTCCAAAAATGTTTATAAATATTTCAAAAATAAGCAGCGTTCTCAACTAAATTTTTGTCTTAGGCTCCATTGATTAATAATAAAAATAACAATTGTATTGGCTTGATTAATCTAACAACCCTTTGTAGTTGATATCTGATACAAATAGTGCATGTCAAGATTTTTCTGTTGCTTTAATTGTAACAACAACTTCTACTATTAAATAAAAACAATAAATAATATTGTTTTATATTCATTAAGTTGAAAAGGTTTAATCCCTCTTTTATACATTGTTAATAGTTTAAAATAACTAAATTACTGTATAAAATAGTGTTTTTATAAAAGGATATGTAAGCAATAATGAGAATAGTCGTGCTGAATTACCTCCTTCTTACGTTCTAATCATATAAACATATTAAAACAGGGCAATTATTCTATTGAGTAATTTTGATATAAATTATATAAGTGAGATAATTGATTTTAGAATACAATAGAATTTATTTTAAACTGTCCCTATTAGAACTCTTCCAAATTATGGTAATTTAAACAATACTGGCAATTCTTTTTATCAGAATGGAGTTTTGATGCAACAATTTTTGTCTAAGAAAGAATTCATTGTTGGAGTTTATTTTTTGAATAATCTCTTATAAGAAAATTTGTTAGAACCTATTTTAATGTAAGGTTCATTCACTACGACAATGTTTGATTACGCTATGATTGTAGATGAAAAATATCAAAATGGAACATCTCTTTATATTAAAAAATAATCTATACATAATTACTCAATAAGTACTTGGAATGTAACCTGTATTTTGAATAGAAAAACATAAAACTACATTACTGTTTCTATATTCTGTTCAAATGAATTTTCAAATGGAACTTATATAGTTACATTCAAACAGCCATAATTAGAAAAATCAAGTAGAAGGTGGATATATTCTCTGATTTCAATAATTGCTTTGCTTTTATTGTATTTTTATATGAAAGTTAAACAAAAGACTAGGAACTTAGATTTTAATGCATTCTAAATTGAATTATGATGCATTCAATAAAATTAGAGATGTATAAATTATAAATACTTGAAATTCTTTCTAGTAATTATCATTACAAAGCACCATTTCGTTTTTAACATTAATTTATATTTTCTTATAATTTCTTTATTTATATTTTATGACAAATTTCTTCTTTAATATCCAAACAAGGGATGTTTAACTATATCAACAAGTGAGATTTTACCGTTCCTGTGTAATATCTCTTTCATTTATAAAAGATTAGGTCGGGTCTAGACTGGGAAGCTAGTACTGAGGTTGGTCAAGACTGGTATATAACTGTCTCTATAGTACGCCTCGCGAAGGCTAAAAATCCCGGTGGAAGCCCGACTTTTTTCCTTGACTCGTTCTGCCTGTTGCTAGGCGTCTGCTGAAACATTTTGTCTTGAACTCCTGTCTAGCAGTTGCGATGTGTGGAAGCCCGACTGTCACCTTGCACCTTCTCCGCACNTATATTTAAATTTGCACCTATTTTATATTTAGTCTTGAAAATCAAACTCCTAAATTAATGTAGTATTCCTATTTGATAGATTCAAATTATATTATTTTAAAGTAAAACGACTTAAACAAAATATATTTAAACTTCCATCTTCATTTATATCCATATCACCACAGAGTTCTGTCCCTACAATTTTAGTATAAAATCTAAGCTTCTCATTAACATTAACTGAATCCTCTTAATAAACTAAATCAACGCTTGTACAAACGATAAGATATTCAAATTTACGAATTAAGGAGCATATCAGCCTTTCTTGTATTTTATTCTTGTAATCCAAGGCATCAATAATTTTTATGATCAATGGATCTTCTTACTAAGGGATTATGAATGAAGGTGTTATAATTTAATTGTCAACATGTTAAAGTTTTGAATAATCTTCATCATCTCCATCCAAAAAGTAACAGCCAGAGATGTATGCATAGCAATTGAAAAACGGTTGAAATTATAAATATTGACATGACATTTTAACAGAATTTAACTTAAACACTAGGTAGCCTAACAAAATAAATAAATTTCTCATTTTAAATAATTTATTATCTTAATTGCCATTTTATTTTGCATATTTATGTTAAATTTATTCTTCCTGCGATTATAATTAGATTATTACTTGATCGAGTGATATAGTTTATCTTCACTAATTAATTAACAGAATAAAATTGCTTCTTCAAATATTTTACAAGCTTGGTTATAATCAATAGGATTATAAATGAGTTAAAAAGGTCTAATATTAAAATTATGGAAACTTTATTAAAGTTCATTCTTTTAAGATATTGCAACTCAAATTAATGCTTATTTTATGAATAATTGTGTTAAGATCTAGTGTTTTGTTGAAGATAGAATTTAAACCAAAAGGTTGAGATTTTTTAAATTACCAATATCACTGAAATATTCTTTCAAAGTCAAGGTACTATTTTAAATATTTTTTCTAATATTTTTTTTAAGTTAATATTTAAAAATATCATTCAATTTATTATTTATATATTAATTTTCTAAACTCTATGTTTCCAGACTTGCAATCCCATGTAACCAAAAATTCTCCATTATTGCTTATTGTTTCAAAAATATTTCCAAAATTGCCGCATTAATTAAAGTTTAATTCTACTTCTAATTTGCAGTCCCAACCTTAAGAATGAAAGTTGAATTTTATTAAATTAACCCAATATCCATTTTTAGAGACTAAGAGTTATTTAGAAGCAACATAGACTTAGGGGAAAAAATACTAGCAAGTCTACCCACTTCTAGAAAGAGCAAGTTCTCTTGATTTTATAAAAAGTCCAGTGGCAAGATCCAATGTGTATAGAAATAAATGAGTTCCTTCAAAATACTGGAAAGCAAAAATATCTGTTGTAATAAAAGATATGCGAAATCCACTTTCTTGAATCTTCTGTTTAACATACCAAAATTAATCAGTAGACTTATCAATTATTAAAATTTATTTATCTCTACCACAGGAAATCAATCATTTATTCCCTTGATTTAGAGATAATCCATTTACTTAATCTAGGTGTTCGCTAATTGTTTATGTACAAGTCCAACAGGAATTTTATGAATATGTCCAAAATTTAATATTCTTGACATATGATCCACTGATAAAAAGGTTTTCTGAATTTTAACTCACAACCAAACAAGTAATTAAACGAGTATGTTCTTTCAGTTTTGCTATATGTTTGGAACTAGATAACAAATTCAAGGAATGAATTAAAATAAATGAACCATATGACCCACTAATTAATTGTGATCTATCGTTAAAGAAATTGAGTGTAGAAACCACATTCTTATGCAGTTTTATCTAAAGTAAATATTTAAATTTCTCATTTTTTTAATATATTACTTTGCTATAATATTTGGATCCTAAGGCTATAAGCGTGTTATTATAGTTTATAGCTTGAGCAAAACAATGAAAAGGATATTTCTAAGTTATTGAATAGACCAAATTATGGCTCAAGCATTTTTAGGAGATATTTTACTCAACTTATGAATTGTCCCTCTTTTGGATCATAAAATGAAAAATTTATTAATAATTAGGATCCAGATGGGACAATTTATCAATCCTTTAAATTAATTATTTACTATAACTTTTTGATCAAAATCGATTCCATATTTTAAAATTGTAATTTTATGAATAATAAATAGTATAGAATATCAATAAATCTTAAAATATAATAATGCATTAGTACTTACTAAGATGTTAAATATATTTTGAAATTTTAAAGTTAAACCTTGTTTTCATTACGAATAATTTTTCCAGTACCATTTAAATTGATTCTTAATATAAATCGAGTTTTCAATGTCATCACATTATTCGTTGAATAAATTAACTCATTAAAATTTCCTCAAATTTGTATATATTGATATTTTTTGAAGTTTTCGAACCTCTTTACAATGATACTACTAATTGATTGAGTATTCCTCTTTTTTATTATAAAACAATTAAATTTCTAAATACAATATGATTCAAGCGAAGCATTTATGAATGAATTGTTTCAAAATTCAAATTTGTATTCGGTTTCTTACCTTCATTATAACCAATGATATTTAAATATTTTTTGTTATATCACTTGTATAAATTCAATTTCTTTAAAAATACCACTTATATTAATTCTAATATTATATTTTATGTTATTGTTTGAATGCATCGTAGTAATTAAAAAATAGATTGATATCATCTAGAGGTTATATCCTTCTCAGCTCGAAAATCAAACATATAAATTCCTAGACTATCTGATTGCCTTAATCAGGTCACATTCCAAAGTAAACATTGTTCAAATTAGCACTTTCTAAAATTTTTTACAATAACATATAATTAATAAAATAAAGAGTTTCTTAACATAACTACTTGCAATTATAATCTAGTTGGTTTAAATTAAGTTACTGTAACAATAATTCGTTATAAATTAATATGTTATTTAATATCCTAAAAAGTCAGCTTAATGAGACTTTGGGTAGATTAAAATAAAAATAATGATTTATTATTGTAATACATGAAGAGACAAAGTCTCAATTATTAATTTTAGAATTTAAG